TTGGGCGTCTCTGCTTCTCCACTGACAACTGATGCGACTCAGCATCGCCAGCAGGTTCGGGGAATCGACCTCTGCCCACGACCTGTTGGCTGCAGGCCGTCCGTGCGTTAGATCCACTGGGTCGTATTCCCGGGAAATTGCGCGCAGGTTTATACCCCTAGCCCAGTCTTGCCTTTGCGGTCTGTCCTTAAACCTGCCTGGAGACAAGGAGTTGTAGTTCAATACACTTGAAAGGTGAAAAATAGATTGAGGCTTCTTGCTGTTTTCAGTCAAAATGTCCTGTATTTAACAAAAAAAAAAAAAAAAAATCCCTTGCTGAAATTCCGACAGCAAAAAATAACCACGCGGCAGACACGGCATGGTCAAAAGAGGTCGTTACAAATATTTGAAATGTGCCCTATTTTTTGTTAATATACACGGCGTGACTAGTTGGGACTTCAAACGCTGCTGAATATTTATTCGTTTATTTACACAGAGAAAAGTGGCCTTAGAGCAGTCCTTTACTCTGATCTCGTCGGAAACATCTCGAGTTAACCCGCGGTTCTGTTACAAGGGAAATTCCTCTTGACTGCGAGGAGCCGAGCCCGATGTCTTCTCGCACCACCCTGCTTCTTTTGTTGGTCTTTATTATGACGATTCCCAAAACGAAATTTCGTTAGTCTCCTCATTTTCGCCAGCTCCAAATCGAAGCCAGAGGTACGGCTCATCGATCTCTTCCAAATATGTTAAAACACGATTTTACTATTTTTTTAAATATATATTTAAACTATCTTTAAATATCTTTCCCCCCCAAAAAATAATAATAGCTGTATTATTGTCCGGGTTTTCTCTGAGTAGGCGATGCATTCTGAATGGCCTAGCAAGCTGAAGTTCGGGTTATGACTTAAAAAAAAAAATTAAATCAAGCCATAGCTAAAGAAAGAAATCACAGCCCAGACTGCTGAAGAAGCAGGAGCTGCTCGGAGCCCTACACAGCGGGCACGGGGTCCCCCTCGCCCTCTGCGGACCTAGCACGTCTTTGCAAACATAAGGTTGCCTCCTCCTATGATTTTTCTAGCACCCAGACTGCCACTGGACTGTAACTCTGATGATCCATATGCAATAGGTAAACCAGTATGCTACAGAGATTTCCTTAGGCTGATTGTCTGCTATTTGTCTCGGGGTGTTGGGGTTTGTTGTTTTTAACTTTCTTGAATTGCGCAGTTTTACGCACTCTATCAATTCCATATTTTTAATTGAACTGGAGCAAAGGAAATATCTCCATACCCTGGCATCTGATTGAATTCGAGGCTGATCGCCAGCCCTTTCTTTCTTTCTAATAATCAATAGTTCTGATTCCCGCCACAGGATCAGATATGCGCTCTCGAGACAACCCGAAACTGTTGTAAAACACGAGCTGAAACACACAGCATGTGGGTTTGCAGCAAATGGCTGGAAGGGATCAGTAACCTATAAAAATACCGCGGATGCTTTATCCGGACCAAACCCCGCTCAGATTACTCAAACCCTTTGAAGTTATCGGGCGGACTGGACTCTTCACTTGATCAACATAAACCCGGTTTGCCCCCAAATTCTCCATGATGAAATGCCACTTTGTTTTTCCCCCCCCCCCCCAAGCTCCATTGATTTCAGCGGCCGTTCTGCGTTTGAAACCAGCGCAGCTATGATCCGCAATATTTTATGGCACATCTGCTATAAAAGAAGACTCTTAGTGAAAGAGAGCCAAGGGCCATGGCTGGAGAGACAGGGCTTTGGCTTTGGCAAGGGAGAAAGCAGGAAAAAATAGTGTGTCATAAAGAATTATCATCGCTTTAATTTCAAAGTGCTATGATATATCTATTATTAATTTAATTATTGCTGTATGCCGTTTATGTACATATTATTTTACTGCGGGTCTAACCAATCACTAAGTCAATGCAATAAAGTTTCCCCCCTCTGCCCCCCAAATTAATGTCCAAACTATTATGAATACGGTTGTTTTTCTTTAATCGAGTTCATGACATGCTCCGATTCTCACCCGCAATCTCTGTCTGTCTGCTCGTCTGGCTGTCTCCGGCCCCTACTGCTATCATGTCTTGTACCGCCTGCACCAAGTGTTAGCTTTCGCTTCGTGCCCGCTCTCTTTAGTCTAAATATATTATTACTGTAACAAAAATATAGGACCTGCCGCAGATCTCCAAAGAAATCAAAATGCAAATGGCCAGAGTTTATGGGTGATAATTCCTGAGAACCAACATCGGAGGGAAACCGCTCCCAAGCCTATACCCAAAACGTGAGCTGCCATTAGAAAAGGGCTAATAAATTCCTAGTCAGTATGCATTTATGCAGTGATTACGTGAACTTTGACCCCTGGAGAGTTGCCGCAATTAGCTGCAACGTCCACCACTTTTCCAGATCTACATTGCTTGGACTCCTTATTTGTGCAAACGGTGGATCAGGAGGAAATAAAAACACACGCTACTTAGCTGCTTTCACCATTCCCTCCTGCTTGGTTTCCCATAGGTAGATTCAGAATTTAGGACTGTCACTGCAACCTAAAGCGCTCTTCCATTAGCTCTTGTCCAGCAATGTCCTTGAAAGATATGCTGCAAAAGTCCGCTTTAAAATTCATGATCTCTTCCTGAAGGGTTTATTTCGAGAATTCATGCCAATCTATGTTAATTGGTGTTTTATCCAACATTAATTGACAGCGTGAAAACCTGGGGTGGGAGGCGGGGAGCTTTGCCTCTGCAGAAGAGAAGAAAGTGTTTCAAGTTTTTGGTAAACATGGCTTAGCAGAAGAATAATAGGAAAGTTGGAGCTCGCGTAGAGAGGGATGAGGCTGTGATTGTTGCCTTTACCAGAGCCCTGAGATAAACCACTGAGACTCATTCTA